GCATACTGCGGGTAATCAATTCCGTCAATATATCACACTGCTTGTAACCGGACAAATCGAGGACTTTAAATCGCATAAAAATAAACATGTATAAAGGGAAAAAAAAGTTATGTATAAAAAATAATTTTGTGTACTATTTCTTTACAATTTATATTTATTTATATTTATACAATTAACATTTAGTTTGTTTTGAAATATTTAAACAGTATTATAGTAAATCCATATTGATCGAAGCAGCACTATTCGAGGTATTGCTGTATATTTTTAAAATGTATAATAAGCTTCTTTGTTTAAGGAAGAAAAACAATAGAAATCATTTTAGTTGACAAAATTGAATGTTAATATATTACATTATAGGAATCACTCCAAATAATTTCATATTTCATACAAATTGATCAATTTAAATCATCGTTTTGGTAGGAATTTTAAGTAATTTTCTGGTAAATAAGTGTTACAGTGGCTTCTATGCAGCAGAAAACAAGGATAAATAAGAATCTTTTGTTATTTGAATAAAAGATGAAAAAATGGTTTTGAGGTATTAGTGCTCTAGTCAGGTATGTACACACCACAAGAAGCCATTTTAATGTCCATTGTTCTGTTTGTTAAACATGCGGCGTTTCTTTTAAAGAACGCCCCCACATACAAAACACTTCATCTCTATATTAACTTCCACTAATAACATGACAAAACTTAAAGAACCTGACAATTTTGCAAGAAATTTGTCTTTGGCAGGTAAGAAAAGCGAAAAGGATGAAGTATGTAGAACCCGTCGTCCCCGGTTGCACTCTTGTTAGTAACATTTAAACCGAGAGGGCCTTGTTTCAAGAAGGGCTCCCCCAGTTCCTTTGTTCTTAGGTAACAAAGCAGAAAATTGTTGTATCAAAAGTCTGTTTTGTAGTCAATGAACTAAATGGCCGCGAACAGCTGGGCCGCATTATATAAACAAAGCGCGCAAAGTACACAGGAGAAGAGAAAAAAAGAGGAACCCTCGCAAACCAAAACTGTTACCAATCGAGAGTCTTTATTTTCGCGCCCCTCGAGAGAGAAAAATACGCTTCGAGAATACTTCACTAATTCCCCTTTAAATAGGCTTAAGAGAAAAGAAAATACAGTTTCATATTAAGGCAGCACTGCGATTATTACGAAACAATGATGAACGGGTAGTTTCTTAAGGTAACAGTTTATTATCGTTGGTACCCCTTGAAATTTGTTATACTGAAATGCTTTCAATTGCTGATTTTACCAGACGATTTATATGATGTCTCGATGGTTTTAAAGTAGTAGTAGTCTTATATTTGCGTGATGTTATGTATCGTTTCAAGCGTTGCTTATCAATATATCGTCAAATATTAATATTAATATAGAACAAGTATTACAATTTTGACATAAGAGTCAAAATATTGATAGAAAGTCTAAGTTGTAAAATAAATTATATCATTAATGTTTAAAAACCGATTACTTTCGCCCATGATGTATGTGAAGAAAAATATCGTATTGAAGTTAAAAGATAATATTTAGTTCAATGTAGGAATCAGATAATAAAAATATGCTCTTTGTTTAATTATGTGCGAATTATGTAATTGTTGTAATAAATAATTCAATAGAAAATATTTTTGAACTAGTTAAAAAAGATAAGAAAGTATAATTGTTAAAACTTGTAATTGCGGCGCTTCTGTACTAAAAAAAACCTAAATCTATGCGGGTATGATCATATACATAAATTTAAATGTAAAAGTTTTGTCTCCTTTAGAAATTGTAGTAGACTTTAAATTTACGCAAATTGAACGTGTAAGTGCATCGACGTTGCGGCTCCTTTTTGCAATTTAAGGAGGGCGGCATTGTAGCTTTTTGAAGCCAACCATTCGAGCAAATAAAAGTTCTTTCACAACCTACAAAAAATAAATTTTTCCCACAAAAAAGAATACTAAAAACCGCATCCTTTAGTGGGCGGAAATCTTGAAATTAAAAAATAACCATGTATCTTCAAATTTATATTCTATATATTTCCGTTTCCTTTAATATTTTTTTTCGCTCTTTTAGATCTTCATTTTTTTATTTTTGATATAAGAGATGCAGTAATTGAAATAAGAGAACTGAATTATTTTCGAAACAAGTTTAGCGAAGCGAAAAAGAAGATTTTTTTCCCATCAGTGGGTTTTCTCTTCAGAATCAAACCGCAAAATAAGAGATTTTTTTCTCCGACATATTAAAACGCCCAAAGGCTAGAAAACAAGAGGCCACGTTTCTATAATCTCCTGACACTAACAAAAAAACCGTGGGGTTGATGAGGCACAGGATCAAGCTAGTAAGCCCCCTTAGGGGTGGTTAGCGATAGCACCGTTTAACAGTACACTCCCTCCCGCCTTTCTCCATTCATGGCACTGATTCCCAATGTCAATATCCAGAGGGCTTTTAATGGAATAACAAAAAAAGCAAACGAGAGAGGAGATTTTATTTTCCCGATGTACAATTCTGTAGGCTTCGTATTAACGCCTGAATTTTCGCTACCATAAGATAATGCGAATCCTAAGAACAGTGATACATAATACTAATGATCCTAAGTTGGCTTTGTGTTCGGGTAGATTACCACCAAAGACCCAAACAAAGGTAGACAAATTTTCAACAAATATAAGCCGAAATTAAATACCCCGGTCGACGGTAGAGCTCTTTTATAAATTCAGATGCACAAAAGATGAATTTTACTCCGAGTTTACAAGAAATGGTAAATCTTCTTTAAAATGAACATTTCATTTCGCTGGGACAATCATGTGAAAATACCAGTGTATGTTAACCATTCGGTTCGCCTGCCAGCATAACACAATAGACTACTTTTTGGACAAAAAATCACTGCAACATTTGCCTGTTTATATTAATTTATTTCTATATATAAATATTCCGTGTACGGTCTACGTCTACATATTAATACGTATGAATAAAATAATAATAAAACAAATAATATTATCGTTACAAAAATCCAAATAAATATTCTATATATTATTATTAAATTTTAGCATAGATGTTGATTGATATAATTTAAATCAGTTTAAATTCAACAGTAAGTAAAATTATTTTTGTTGCATCAATATCAATAAATATATCCTATATTTCTTTTATTGATTAGCCGTCATTCCAATGACCTAAGATAATGTATAAAAGTTTCTTAAATAATTTAGTTAATTATTTTTTGAAATCATTAATGTGTTTTTAATTGTGTTACAATATTTTTTTAATTTTAATTAAATATACGTGAAATTTAATTTACTATATTACAATTGCAGAGCGAACATTCGCTCATTTCTGAGTATTGTAGCCGGCATCTGAACACAGAGATGATTATGAAAAGATTTACTGCGGTGGCGGCGGAGCGCATGAAAAGAGCATGAAAAAATATTGTAGCAAGAGCAGAAAAGAAAATAAAGAAAATGGGGGTGTTTTGTTAATAAAGCAAGTGTATTGTGACTCGGTCAGTTAATGTAGCTTAATCCTTTACTTTGGACTCCTTTTAACTTCTACCGACGTCCAGAATCTTATTGTCTGCATTCTACTTTTTGCAAATCCATATGACAAATCTTCAATATAATATAGTAATGGCCGACTTGCATCAAAAGACGGACATTAAGGCAGAGGTTTACAAAAAGATTTCTTAAATAAAGTAGAGCATATATACATACATTTATATATTGTTTATAATTATTGAACATTATTATTATTTTCAATACATACTATTAGAGTAAAAAAATATAGTGAAACGTCGCAAAACGAGCAAATTAATGTAAAATACGACAATACTTTCTTGCGGCCTTTTCTGCAAAGACATTCTTGTAAAGGTTGTTAAATTTTGCACACAAAAAGTCTGTCCTTCTCTTTATCACTTGTTAAAACATCGCTCGTTAGCGAGTAAATTATGTTACAATTTGTTTTTGTCTCGTTAAGCGAGGTTCCACTATATATTTAAATGCTAGTCAAGGATTAAGTAAAATGCTAGTTGACTAAGAATTTTTATAAAATATTAAAATACTAAATAGGTATATATTTTTTCTAAATTTTTTATACAGATAAGTTTAGATGAAGTAGCTAATTAACTATATATTAATTAATATAAAGTTAAGATATTGAAAAAGTAATTGTATTTTAGTAATTTTTGAATTACAAAAAATTCTCCAATACAGTTATTTTCATTGAAAGTTGCTAAATAAATTAATAATATTTTGATTTTTTTATATATATTTATATATTATTTATCTAATTATTTAATATATGTTATTTTAGATATAAATATTGATTAATTAAAAAATAATGTTCATTGAAAATATCGAAATATATGTTTCGCAATTTACAGTTTCTTATAGACGGATAGTAATGTAAAACGTACATTATAAATATTGTATCAAATTGATCTTTCGTTTAGTGGTATGAGCTGATCCATTAACCAAACAAGGTGACGGTGTGGTGATGCTCGAGAGGAACGTGAGGGTCGCAAAGTCCAGGAGCGTTTTGTTGCGTTTTGACTATTTAGTTTGGGTCCTTTTTGTAGGATAATGGAGTCGGCTACAAATCGCCAAACAAAGGAGGCTTGCTTTACCATCCGTCCGTCCGTTCCTCCGCCGCAAAAACCAGGCTGACATATGCACATGTACGCACACACTCGCTAACAGACGAGTGTTAGAAAGGGATAGAGACATGCTTATTCAGAGGACCCGAGATTGGCACAGCTGCGCTTCCAAACAGATCACCCCATCAACATGATTTCATACCACGATATCCTTACTACAGATCCAGTTAGGTCGTCCATTCAACACCACAGAAATCTCTACGTGGTACAGTAGGGGACGTAATGAAGTGACCTGCCTTTTCAACACTGTATTATTAAGCCATACATTATCCCTACCGATGTCACCAGGAATTCAATGCACAGATCATAAATCATGAGACTGTGACCGTTCAACAAGCCACGACTACCTCAACAAAAACCATTCTAATGGTCTGCCGGGATTGGAGGGACTCGTTGCAATCGCAGCCATCTTAATCCATGTCCCTATAGTCGGAAATTCATATAATGCATATAATGATACGAGCGGAGCGGATAATTATGTCAAATTTTTGAGGTTTAAAAGTTGAACGCACGAATACACAGACACAAAAAAGGGGACTTAAAATCAGGGGAGTGTCATTACATACTTTTTAGTTTAATAAATTTAAACATTATAATTATTAACATTGTTATCGTAATTATTGTTGTTGCTCCTCAGGCCTGGCGGTTTCGTTCTTCTTTCCTCGTAATTCGGCGCTTGCTGTTGCTGCGGTCTCTGATATACCGGAGCCCGTTGCTGCTGTGGTTGTTGATAGATCGGTTGTTCCGGTTGTTGGTAATCTTGATCTTGATCGTAGTCTTGATTTTGCTGATATTGTTGCGGTTGTTGTTGTTGCTGCTGCTGTTGCTGAATCGGAGCGTTGTAGTTGTACTTTGGAGTTACGGACGATCCAGCATTGTAATTGTAATTAACCTTCAGACCCGTGGGGTCCGTGTAAGTGAATCGTCCGTGAACGATGCCTCCGGGATCAGCTTTGGCCGCATGAGCGATTCCGTCCTCGGTGCGATACAGGAAACCGAAAGTACCATCCAGTTTTGGAAGGTCTCTTGAATCTTGTAATATCGTTGGGTTCACTAGAGCTTGAACACACAAGGCCTGCAAGTAAAAATAAAATGAAATGGTTAAAGATGTATAATATACTTGAAATTTCAGTTGATTTTTTTCAGAAATTGTTATCATTAATTTGCAAGTTTTTAAATAATTATATTAATATATACGATCATTGTACGTTATTTTATATTTCACAATTTTATGTAAATATTTTTGTACAGTTATAATAATAATTGTTATTATTAATATAATATAAGAAGTTCAATTTGATATACTTATCCCAAATTTCATATAAAATAATATAGAGTTCGCGTAATGTTACACGATTTACGAAAGTGAAGCAATACACATAGTACTTAAAAAGGTGATCAGTTATATTTGCAATTAAAATTATAGAATTTATAATAATGGTATGTTGGAGTACTAAATTATTATAATAGATTATTATGTACATTTTCCACAATATATATATAAATTAACTTATATTTTAATACTCGTCTAGCAAATATAAATGTTCTAATAATTAAATGTATATCCATATTAATACGAAATAGGTATTTTATTTACAAGATAATTACCGCATTTCAAATTATTCTGTATAAATAATTCCGTAAAAAAATCAATTTTCTATTAAATTAGTTTACATATTATGTTAAAGACGAGAAGCACAACAAATTAATTATATATATTTCTAATACAACAATAGAACTGACATATTTAAATTATTTTTTTATTAAAAACATATGATATTTGTAATTACGCTAATTAAATCAAATCGATTCGTTACATGAAACACGGTATATGATTATAAAAATTAGAACGTTATTGAAAGCGCTTGTTTCCTTTTTTTGTGTTATGCACGTTGATGGAAAACTTTAAACACTTGAGTTATAATTTAATACTTAATGACGTGATATATTACACTATATCGAAACCTGTTTTTTTAAACAGATACTATAAATCCAAATATTTCCTGTTTATGTATATTTTTTTTTAGAATTTATAGAAACATGAAAAGGTTGTTTAGAAATCCAGTTTAAATAAAATAATTAAATATTTAGCCTATACTACGTACTCTAGATAATTATATTTTTTCTTACTGGCAAATACATTTAAAATGTGTACAATTAGACTTTAGAAATATATATAAAAATTACTGTAATGAAGAGAATATTAACTGATGTTTGTGTTGTGTTAATTAATGTTTACTTAATAATGTTTAAATAATTAAAATAATTAATACATTTTGTCTAATCGCTGATTCTTTTCGTTTTCACATATATTTAATTTTAATTATTGTATCAAATCATATTTATCTCGTTATATCATCTTCCCGGGCGGAAAAACCAAAGTTGTTATCCATTTTATAATTTATATTTGTTTATTTTTTAATTTATGTGTAGAGTTTATTTCAGGGTTTATTTTTGTATTTATATTATTTCTATGTAAATTTTTATACATATGGTTATAATTAATAATATAATTTGAGAATAATATGTCAGGTTTTCTTCTGAAATAACACTATTTTGGTCAATAGCCATTTGTAGCAGTTAATCTTCTTTTGTTTTATTATTGTTTCTGAATGAAAATGTTTATTGTGTTTACTTATTGAAGGTGATGAAGTTTCAAAATATTTATTTTGTTATCATATTTTTACAATAATTAGTAATTCAAATTAATAAATATTATTAATTTAATCAATAATATTGATTATTTAAAATATATTTAAAAAATTTATTTTTTTTTCAGTATGGAATTCAGGAAGACATACATATTCTAAAAAAAAATAGTAAACAAAATTATTTTTATATCCATTTTATTGCTATTTTCCTCTATAGAGTATTTTGTCTATGATAAATATTTCTTAAATATATTCTGTAATGCTTTATTTGCTAGAAAGTGTAGTAATGACTGTATACTATCCGTTTTTAATATTATGTAAAACGTGTACAAGGTTATTTCTTTAAACGTATAATTATAAATGAAAACAATATCATATTGTTTATAATTATTACAATAATTTTAAGTTGTGACGACAGATTTTGCTGTAGTCGCGTTACATATGTGATATTCAAGTAAGCAATGAAATGTATACTCACAACAGATAGGATAGACAGTATCTCAGCAACAATCATCTTTCCGCGTGGATGCAATTATATGAATTTTCTAACACTTGAAGGATCACTCCTAGATGATAAATATGTCAGGTTTCGTGCGCTCCAGTAAAGTTATCACTTTTATACATGCACACGAGAAGGTATCTGCATGGGTGGAGGCAGTCAACAACTCCTTCCTCAATGTTGTCTGCACGATCAGGAATTCCAACATCGCACGTCAATGTATGTAGTACGTACGTTCGATTGAAATTCGCGTTTCTCATTACGAGAAAACAACAAGAAGTGATTATAATTCGAAGCGACAATTTAGAATTGATCTGCATTCGAATGCCGTTCGATCGTTAATAGTCATAATTTTACCGTTGGCTCTAACATTAATTACAGATTTTATGGACTAATTAGCAAACGCGTTCGAGTCGCATTTGATTTTTTTTTTCGCAGATAGAATGATCTACAAGCGCACTTGAACTACTTCTAATGCATTCAGTTTGACTGCATTGCGGCGACGAGAAGAAAGTGCAATTTGAAATTGAAATTCGATATTGCATTCGATGGTGCAACGCATTCCGAACATATTTGCATCCTAATTATGTTGTAACAACAGGGTTGACGAATTTATTGTTTAGATTTCATTGTATACGTTTATTTATGAAGTTGATGGAAAATTGAAACGTATTGCATAAATAATTATTTATAGATGCAGACTATAAAAAGTCTTTAATTAAATCGGTAAACAGTCAGTGTTTATATAACATTGAACAAATAGTATCGCCTGACTTTATTTTACTTTTTTTAGAGAATTACATTATATCGTAAATTTTATATTTTTTTTATATGATTATGTAATAATTAATTAATGATAAATTATCTTAATTAATCTTGTCAACCTGCACATACGTATATAAAGAAAATTGGTATGACAATGGCAATTATTTGTCAGATTTACAGTTAATATAATAAATTAGATTTGTATTAATAATAACCGTGTCTTATAGTAAATGGGTCGATTTAAATATAAATTTCATGAATAATTTGAATGAATCTATAAATTTTCTTTTTAACCAGAGAATGAGTTTTTCAACACTTTCAATTTTACTGGTTAATCTTCACATTTTCAGGAACTCTTCTCTTTATTTTCTAATTATTTTTCACTTCTTATTTGCTTAGTTTTAATAATTATGATTAATATTAATTATTTAAATCGCAATATATCCACCAATTGCATCAGATAAATTCAAAATGACAATATTAAATTATTTAATGTTTAAATGGATTTAATATAAATATTACAATACAGTCTTTACATATCTTACACATTTTAAAATAGATAAAATTGGATTCAATTATTTATAAATAGTTTCGTTTAAATGTTATCGAAAAAGTGAATATATCGGCATTATTTAGGCAAATCCTTTATTTCGCTTGGGAGAAAACCATTTCAGTAAAGTTAATCTGATGAAACTAATGATGTAAATAATATGATGTAAAAATGAAATCACTCAAACATAATACGACGACGTTGAAGAAAATATAATCTACGTTGTATACGAATTTTCATTCATTTTTTGTATTGTCTCGTTACACAAAATATACTTAATAAGTGAAAAAATATATAAATTTGAGTTGCTGTCTAGTTAATGTGCTTCTAATATTTTTTTATGAATTATTCAATTTTTTTTTAACTTTTTTTAATAATTATGTTATCGGCTACTGTTTTTCATAATTTATTCCTCCACTATTTCTATTTGAAGGTCCACATGAATTCTCCTGTTCGTAATATACCATAAAACAGTGGTTTTCAAACTTGATGTTACTATGCCTCCCTTAAAAATATTTAATCATTTGGCGCCTCTTCTCCCCATTTCATAAAATAACAAAAACACAAAAAAAAATACTCCTAAAAAAAATATTACTACCTACTAATGGAAAACAACGTAATAAGGATATTTTATGAGATAGCTACTCGTAGCTCATTTTCTACGAGTTTCGTAGCTCGTTTAGCTATTTTGATTTCATTGCTAAGGCAGAAAAAGATTGAAAATAATGTCTATATACTCTGTTGCAAGAAGCTCCCTGGTATGTGACATTTTACACATTGACCTCCAAAAGAACAGATTGAAATGTAAAATCTCGACGTACACATTGGAAAATCACTATTATCAATTTTATAGCCATAAACTTACTAGACAATAGTGAGACCCCCATAGACTAAAAAGCCAAGATTTTTTTAGTTAATTATTATCGTTAGAATTAATATTAATATTAATTTTAATTATATTTTATTATTTAGACGGTTTCTAATCGGAAATTATTCCGCTCACTATTATTATTATTTCTTTTTAATGACAAAACTATTTGTTCATTGCTAGCATATAGTAAATAAGAAATACATTTAAGAAAAAAAATATAATTTTAGGAAATTATATTTTAATTTATTGGCCCAGTAATAAACGTAATTATCTATAAAAGAACATTACTTTATTTAAAAATATAAATCGTTTTGTAAATACTTTCCAAAACATAATAATATTAAAAATAAATATAAATTCAGCAATACCGTTTCCATCAATAATGTAACTAGAAATAATCAATTTATTTAAAACGTACGGAGTTTTAAAGTATGATTTTATTCTTCGAATGTACATTTTATACGAATATTTAATACAAATACAAGGCCAGTATATGTATTGAGAAGGTGTCGTTATAAAGACAAGTGCGAGAATGTACGAATGATCAAAGATTATAGATTTTTTCTGTGAATTTACATTAAAATAATATTAACATTTACAGTTTCAATTGCTATTGAGAACGAGCGTGAATCGCGAATAATTCCACATTAATATTGTCATAACCAATAATCTATTCACATTCAGCAGACTGATGCTGCAACAACTAGATTTGAATTATTACTGCAGTCGTTTTTGTTTTATCAAAAAATTATGTATAGTACACATAAAAAGTAGAAAAAGAGCATATTTGATGTGAAATAAATAAATTAATATTATGACTATCCACCTAGTCTTAATATTGAATGCTTCGATATACCATCGTTTTGGATTACAAGCACGTTTCTGGAATGAATTATGCTTACAAACCAAGGTTGTAAAGGGTGTCGGTATTTTAAATAATTCACATTATTTTAAAATACCGAAATTTTGATTTAATCGTAAAGTAGATATCCTCATTCCCTCCTCAGCTTTTTTAGAATCATGACGCATTTGTAGTGACGAAAACTTTATGAGAAGAAATTGGGAATAACGTATCACTGATTGGTGTGGATTTTAGGCTGGACAATTTTACTTCAAAGGCGCCGCTATTATTAGCTCTGTATTAATAATTGGATATTGAGATAAGAAAATGAATATCAAATTAGTACAAATTTCAATATAAAATAATAAATAACCACTATAAAAGGGCTGTTGACCGCAGTAATTTTGCCACAATAAATTGTATTATATTATATGGAAATATCTGTAGTTTCTTGAAAACACTTAAAAAGTTTAATTATAATTTTCTTTGAAAAAAAAAATTAATTAAATTTAAAAATAATTTAAAAGTTCAATTGAAATTAGTAATACTAGTGTATAATATATTATGAACAATTTAGTAACAATTTGTCTATTATTATTAGCTCTGTATTAATATGTGTTCTATGTTGAGAAATGAAAATTAATATCCTTCAAATTGCGATAATTTTCAATATAAAATATTTATTATAATACATTTATTGTATGCCACTATAAAAAAGTCCATTGACCGCAGTCTTTCCGCTCCAATAAATATTATTACATTTTTTATGCAAATAAATATCTGAATATTCTTGAAAACACTTATAAAGTTACTAATAATTTCCTGGAAAAAAAAAGAAATTCAATTTATTATATAATTTGAAATAATATTTCTCGGTACAAAATAACTCCCCCTTATTTTCATATACCTAGTCATTAATTCTAATCTTTATTGCAGCCCAATTTAATTAAACTTTTTTTCGCCACTTTCTTAAAAATGTATAAAATAGGGAACCTTTGAAGGATTATATTTACAGTGCAATAAAAAAATCTTTTTAACAGTTTTCGGAAGGAAGCAATTCCCTATTTACAGCGACAAATACCTCGTCTTAAAGCAGGTATCTGGATACCAAATTCAAATATTATTATTATTTTGTATAAAATTTTGTTGGTATACATTATTTGGTTTTAAATAGTTTATATATCAAAATTTGTTATGTTTTCCGATTATTGAAACAAATGTTACTGATATTAAATAAGTCTAAAAAATTTCTTATTTTGAATACATCTGATTGTTATTAAAAGTAGCAAAAGTTGCATACTTTCACTCTCTTCAGAGTTGAAGTAACAGAACAGTTCTTAAAAATAAAAATATTTAAGAAATTGTTTTTAAATTTATGACAATATTTTAAATATTAATAATAAATTTATATAATTACCGTTTTACATGCATTGAATCTTATATATAACTTTACAGCAACATTTTCGTTTGAATAGAAATTGAGACTTTTTTGTGTAAATTAAATATAATTACGACAATTTCACACAATCTCACATCATTGAGTCGTTTATTTTTCAATTTCCACGTGTTATTCGATGAAAATAATTGTTTATTAAACTTATGAAGAAAAAAAATAACAATTCCAACGGTATACTTGGAATCCTGGTATCAATGCTTTGGTTTTGGGAAAATTATGATAGCAAAATAAAAAAATCATATGCAACAAATTTATATGCAAGAAATCAACTTGAAAATTATTAAAATATTTCTTTTTATATGAAGGGGCTGAATCAGATTAATATATTTAATATAGAAAATAAATAAATAATAAAAAAAACTATTTCAGCGCGAATGTTTTTGGAATGTAAAGGCTCTTAAAATAAAGAGGGGAAGGTTCTGACCGGTCAAAAACAAATACTAACAGCTCCTTTCTCCCACCACCCGAATAAGGAAAAAGTTTAAATACTATCTGCTATTTCGATTGTGAACAGAAACAAACCAATTTTCGCAAGTACAAAAAATACATAGTTGTGTGTAGTGAGTTTTTAAGTTTAACATGAATGCAGTATTAGAAAATGAGGACAAGAGACCATCCTCATCCTCATTTGCATGCTTTTTCAAAAGGACGATACGTACAAATCGAAAATACATATGTAAAGCGAAGGAAGAAAATTGCTGTATAATTGACAAGATTAGGAGGAACCAATGCCGAGCCTGCCGTCTTGCAAATTATCGTAATGTTGGGATGAACAAAGATGGTCATTACAATATTTTCATGGACAAAAACATTTAATTAGATATATTTAAGTAATATTAATATGTTTGTATTTTAACAGCTGTGCAACACGAATGCGGATCTAGAAATGAAGAGTTCACCACCAACAGAAAATGCAACGTATCTATTCGAGTGCATTAATTCCACCTATACCATGCGCAAATTCATCATTTTGTTGCAGCAAGCCCTTTATGTCCATTATCCTATAAATATTCCACACATACCAACTAAATTACCAATTGACCCATTTGCTCTACAGGAATCAGTGAATGAGAGAGCTAATATGCTGTTTATGACGATAGAGTGATTGAAAAAAATTAACAGCTTCACAACATTGCCAATTCAAGACCAGCATTTTTTGTCGAAGTCAAAAATATATAATACTGCATTGGTACGTTTTGCCATCTCACAATATAATTTAGGTATTTGCAGTCGATGGAGAGTTAGGACGAAAACATCCAAACAAGTAAAAAATAGTAATATACTTTTATGAGTTCTGACAACTTTCTTCTCAGGTACATCCGGTTTTAAGCACGACTTGGAAAGTGGGATATCCTAAGAAAGGTTATCATAAATAAATGTTTATTGGAATTTAGAAAAATCTTAGATTTTTATATTTTTTTTATGACGACACTGAGCGGTTAAACTTCATATAATAAAAGAGATTAGTGTGAACTTGAAACTTCAATAATAGACGTGAAGGGCTGGCCATAAATGGGGGAGGTATTAGCTTGTGAGCGACATCCAATCCCGAAGGCCCTTAACCCCTACCATAAAAACCGGATCGTTTAAATACCGGACGGGAAAGGAAAAATACAGTTAGAAAGAAATTTCGTAGGGTAGCAGCTTTTACCCCAACAAAATTACAATAAGTGTAGTGCGTTTTACAAGGATTATCAAACACTTCTCTAAAAATGGATATGCACAAGCGAAGCGAAGAAGTAGATACAAGATCGTCTCCATCAAGTAAGTCGCTATAACCCATAAGTTTGCACTGAATTTTCAGTTGCATTATTAAAGGATTTCTTCTTATATGTTTGTTTATTGCAGATCGCATCTTGGATATTCCATGTAAGGTGTGTGGTGACTTTTCTTCGGGAAAGCACTACAATATATTCGCATGCGACGGTTGCGCTGGTTTTTTCAAGAGAACTATTCGCAGAAATCGATTATACATTTGTAAAGCGAAAGCCGTAAACTGTTGTATAATAGATAAGACGAGGAGGAACCAATGCCGTGCCTGCCGCCTGGCAAAGTGCCAGAAAGTTGGGATGAACAAAGATGGTAATTAATTAATTTCAATATATGTATATATATATTCTAATACTTAATTACTTTCAAAATAGTAAATTGTACACATTTTTTTTGAATTTTTAAAGCGGTTCAACATGAACGAGGGCCAAGAAATTCAACAGTTCGGAGACAACTGCAAATGCAATTCGTAGATTCACGTGCAATGATGCCCATTTCCAATTTATCGCCACAAATGACGCAAGGGCCTAGTTATGCCAGCGGAATTTCTTATATTAATTATCCGAGTCTCGTGCAACCTATTCCAAGCACATTTCCATTAGCCTCTGCAGCTCAACCAGAACCTACAATAAGTGAGAGAGCAGCTAGACTGCTATTCATGAATATAAAATGGATTAAGAGTATCGCCAGTTTCACTTCACTGTCAATGGAAGATCAACACGTATTATTGGAGTCCAGTTGGAAGGAATTATTTATAATTGGAGCATCGCAATACCTCAACGTACATTTCTCAGAACTGGTGCAATCATTGGATATGTCTAAACGCGACAAAGAGCAAGCGATCGAGTTTATTAAAGATATCAGTAACTTACAGAACGCCATATACGAAAACGCAAAGCTAAGATTGGATCCGCAAGAATACGCGTATCTCAGAGGTTTATGTTTGTATAAGGTGTTTTCTGCAGTTAATGATGGAGAACAGAAGAATCGATTTGCAAATAAGAGCCAAATAATGGATATGTACAATCATACACACTTATCATTGCAGTTTTACATCAGATCGACATATCCGTATCAGTTGAACCGATTTAATATTATTATGGATCTTTGGCAATCTATGGAGAAAGTAAAACCCACAATTATTGAGGATCTTTTCTTCAGAGATACCATAGGCCAAATAACGATTGAACGTATTATAATCGATATGTACAAAGCTCAATAGAATAAATTAGAAAAAATATTTGAAAACAAACTCTGTGATGGCCTTAACATATTTTTATCAAAATATTATAGGAAATAGTTTAAATTATTTAATGTTATGTACACATATATACAAAAATAAATATATTAATTTTTAATTAAAATTTAATTTTTATTTACCTGTTTTATTTTATAACATTGAGAAGTTTTACTAATATAAAAACGATTATAACAATTCTAGAAGACCTTTATTAGTTACATAACTGACTTCTACAATTTTATATTAACATCGATTATTTTTTTTAAATTTATTTCTTACATATTTACTATAAATTCATATTTAATTTAAGGAAAATAAAAGGACATAAGCACATAAATTAGCACCAAGTGGAAAGACTGAGGTTAATAGATTTTATTTTAATATTTCAATATTTTATACAATGTCGTATGGTGATTATACTTCACCACTTCATTCACTTCAAGAATATATTTTAGCGCAATTCCATATAAAAATATGTCTAAGAATGCCGAGTTTCTGTATTTTGCAAGTATATTTCGTTCCGAAAAAGAACTCATATTAAAGCAAAATTATCAATGACATTGAGCTTTTTCAAAAAGTGGAGTTATTTAGAAATTATTTCTTAACTATTTCAATATATTTATTTAAGTATGTTTTTTAAGTTATTTGTGAACAAAGGCAAACAATTTGAAATTTTGTGCATATAAAAATATAATATTTGTTATTTCTCTCTATACGGATTGTTATAAGTAACCTACAATTCCGAAATTTAATCTAAAAGTGCATGTCTAGTCGGTTACCTTTTGAAATTTCTTAAGGCACAGCGGCTGGTTTGATGCCGATCATCCAACCAAATAAGGAACCATAATTTGTTTTTTTGCAGACAAAAAAATATTACAAAGGAATGAAACCGCATAGCTTCACAACGGATGTGAAAAATCTTTGTTATGTAATACAATTTATTTGTTATATAATAATTTTAATATATATTTTTATCACATTTATCTGTATAAGATATATTACCAAACAATTTACATTTAACCACATAAATTGTATAGTGATTAGAAAATATCTTATCGTTTTCGATTTATTGTATTTGTATTGTTTTTATTGTAATGTTTAGCTTCTCGACCGACCGCTTTCCATCACTTACATCATTTATTTTATTGATAACGAAATTAGAATAGTTTGTTTTTATTACCTAAAATCGAAGAAAATTATATTATTTCATTTTATATGCACATGTCTGGCTTACCTAATTCAGTTTTCTTCTTGTACACCTTTTTTTTTACCTGAGCAGCGAATTTCTTGCAAATTTGTCTACTTTTTAAGTTTTGTCGAACTATTAGTAGAAGTTAATACCGGGTTTAAATGTTTTGTGTGAGAACGCTTCGATGAAAGGAACCGCCCCATGTTTGGTAAGAGAACAATGATCATTAGAGATGGCTTCTTGTGTGCATACCTGGCTATAACACTAATATACCGAAACCATTCTTCCATCTTCTATTCACACAACAATAGATCTTACCTTGTTTTCCGCTGCACTGGAGCTTCTGTTATAACTTATCAGATTCACAAGAACCTAAACCAGCTGTCTTAGATTAAGACATTACTTTTTAGACTTCTTATAGAAAATTGATTAATTTAAAATAAAATATATGTAACTTTATAACTTTAACAAATACATTAAATATATAAATAAATTTAATTATTCCCTTCATCTGTGGTGTTAAGAAAATTAATAATATCTTGTCTTTTTTAATTTTAATTTCAAACAAATGGCGCGCTAATTAGCACTTGTCAAAAATAATTCATAGAAAAATTATGTGACATGCTATTTTAACAAAATTACGAATGTTGTTCAATATTGTGTTTAATTTAAAGAAAGATGTTCCAAATCAACTAAAAAAAAATGCCTAAAAAACCAGCGTTGTAACTATTTTATAAACATCATATTTTTAATCGGTTAAAATTGTAAATGTATATCATATTTTCGGACAATATTTCTTTTCATAATTATTAAAATTAATGTATTTTGGGCTATTGACTTCATTGATTTGCATAATAAGTAAAACATCATATACGATGTTTTACTTTAATTTATTTATTTGTTAATATTAATGAATATAATATCCAAATTGTACCTTTTTTTTTAAATAATAAATATATAATATTAAAAAATATTACACATTTTTTTTAGTGTAAAAAATAAATATGATTTAATTATTTTTTAGAAAACTTACCTTTTTTCTTGTTTTTTGTTGTATGAAATTTCACATTTCATATATGGATTTCAAAGATGCCGGTAAAAATTATATCGGTGGATATTTAAGGAAAGGATTAAGGTACACAAATGTATAAAATGCACAAATGCATTGTAATTTGCGATAGTAACAAAACACCTACATTTTTTTTCTTTTCTTTTCAGTTTCAATATTTTTCCTCTTTTCTTTCATATTCGCAGCCGCTACCAAAAGTAAATACGTCTATTGTTGAATACTGGGTATAGATTTTTGGAAAATACTAAGAATCCAAACATCCATAGAAAATGTTTTAAATTAATATTCAAAATTTAATATTAAAAAACTGAACATGTTGACGTGCACTCCTGTATTTAAAACAAATAACAGGTCTAATAACTAATCAAAAAGCTTTAATATACAGTTCTAAACTTTTTTTATGTCGTGTAATTTTATTCACAATCTGTTCATCTATGTGAACATTGAGTAAATTTAAGATCGTGGTTGACATTAGGAAGACTTTCCCGGTGGATAGTTACCATTATGATGATTTTTAATTTTTTAATTCGTGGTTGCCTGTCGTCTTGTAGATTAACTTCAGTAGCTGATGCTCTGCGATTCCACTATTTCCTTTCACTGTCAATCTGCTGCTATCCTTAACACTGTCATTATCCATTGACTTGGCTGTCCATCTGTATGAACGATGGCCCTATTGCTGCAAGCACCGAGAGGACTCACAAAGGGCACGTGGAAGAAGACTCCTCCTTTGTGGTCAGAATCAGTAAGCGACAGTAAATACAAACTAACTACAGTTAATCATCTAAATTTGGAAGCATTTATAGATCTTCTTCAGTAAATCGCATTTGCCACATCAATATCTTCCTTTGAACATAATCTATTTTGCCTTCTAGAATTGAGCGCTTTAAAGAATATTTTGTAAAGTTCTGAAGACTATATTTTCGCTACAATTGGTCACGATGAATAATGCAATGAGTAAATAAGATATCTATCTGAGCGTCCAACGTAGTGGTTGCAGAGGCTCATTGATCATTCAGAGTAAGGCGGATTCCCAGGCTTGTCCAAATTTATAATGCCAACATAATTAGATGCCCTGGAGATAACCACCTGACAAATTAGGTTAATGTCAGACTCTCAGAGAAAAGATGCCCGAAATATTTAAAACAGAATATTTTACGGAGACTGGTACGTTATAATTATTCATACCACGGGCAAGCATCAAATCGACGCAACCAAAGTTCAACCTGCAGCAGGACTTTTACTCAAAAGTGAATCAATTATTGCTTCATCTGCTGCTACAAATAAAAGTACAAAAATATCTGTCCCCATCCATAATAAAATAATCCACGACCAACGCTTATGCACTACTGACGAAGTAGCTGTCGACGCGGCAATCGCCTTCTACAACAGCTAGCGCTTGGACGATCCGCACAAATCAAAATATTATAGCAGCTACATACGAAATCATCAATGTATTAAAATATTACAGAGTCGTACAATATTAATGTTAATGTACATACTAAAGGGGACAAGGCTAACCCCAGCAACTGGAGGCCGATCTCGCTCTCCTCGACTTTCTACAAACTCTCCGCGTCATGCCTGGCGCAGAGATTTGTAGACTGGAGTGACCGGAAGGGGTTGGTCTCTGCTTGCCAGAAGGGCTTCGGGAAGGGAGAGGGCTGCTATGAGCATAACTTTGTGCTGCAGTCGGTGCTGGACTCGTCGAGAATGTTGAATAGGAGAGCCACGGTCGCGTGGTTGGATCTGAGCACCGCGTTCTCGTCAGTGCGACAGGGTTGTCCACAAAGCCCCATCATCTTTAACGTCTAACATCTTTCTTTATTCTATAGTAAAAGTGTTTTAGAAAAAAGTGAGAAATTTAAGGTAGAATGCGGCGAATTTCTAAAATAAAAATATGTAGATGAAAATTTGAAAAACAGAAGATTAGAAACACACCATTCATAACTTGTAAACAATATAAATAACTTGGATACACATAACATTTCTAATTGTAATTCACAAAAACCTTAACTAAATAAAAAGAGGGATATTTTGTTTGCGTATGCAACCATACTTACACATGAAGTGATAGAAGTCAGCAGTATTTAACAGAAGGCAAACACGTCTAGGTAATAAAGCATATATATTAAACAAAACAAGCGTTCCAGTGTTTTAACTATGGACTTTGAAATGAAAAACATTTTAAAATAAAAATTAATGGACTATGCCAATTCACAACATTTTTACTTGAGTGTAACAAATTACCACACACACACAAATCTATACAGATGGATACAAGAAGAAAGAGGCAAACTCAATAACATATATACACAAAAATAGAATATATAAACAAACAATGTTAATGTCTCTTATGAGACATCCACAAAGTCTCTTTGAATACTCTGATTTTTTTTTTCAAATAAACACATACATAATAAAACTATCCAGGCGTAATTCCGTGGGAACGCTTAATCATTAATTAATAAAATAAGAATTTATTTATTAATAACCACTGAAACCACGCCGCAAACATCAAACGACATGTTGAGCATTTTTGTCACGGCGAATATGAAGAACTTCAAAAATCTCTCAAACAACCACCGACTTAAAAAATAAAATTTGAAGAAGAAAGACCAAGGACAAATCTTACACAACTAACATTAGAACAAACTCAAATGAAATTGATTAAAAAGGATATTACTCTAAATATGACCGATGAAACATTAAAAAGTACATGTGTTGAAC